TTTTTTTTGTCATTCGTCTTAGAAACAAATAGTTAAACAACTTTGCCATGCTAAATATCAAGAAGAAATAACAAGAGAAGAATTCAATTTATTAAAAGAACAAATTTCTAATCAAAAGCCTTCTCTAGCGTCTGAATTACCACCACAAGAAACATTTTTTTTTTATTAAGCATAATTGCCCTATGACCATCTCGGCCCTAAAGGGACACTTTAGCTGCACCATAACTTTATAATAGATAAAATAAAGAATGAAATAAAAAACACGAAGAGAAGAAAAAACTTGAAAAACAGAAAGAGAGAAAAAGAAGGGATGAGATGAAATGAAGAGAGAGAAGAAAAAACAAATGAATGAAAACAAAGCTGTAGCATTCTTACTCTGTTTAACTATACAAATATTATGTACTTCTTTTTTTTTTGTTCTTTCTTCCAGTCCCACACCCCTCGCCAACGACACGCTGCCCTACACTGCCTCTATTTCCTTTCTATCTCAAAATTTCTTATGTAAAACTTTCCGGAAACAGAGCAAACGATAGTATATCTTCTTCCTTGTGTACTACCACAGAGTCTGAGGAGCCTTGCATCGCCATCCAGTTGAACACTTGGCCTAATACATCCGAGTGTGATACAAATCTTTTGGATCTATACAAACAGCGAATACGTTGTGCACCAGATTGCCAGGCTGATCTGTGTGAATTTAATTCCGATTGCTCAACTAATAGGAATCCATCCCTTGTCTTAGATAATGCCATTGCATATTTTTCCCAATATCCAAAGCACAGATCATCCAACGTTTTTCATTGTATATATACGAGAAGACAAAGTCATCCCAGCATTGACACCAAAATATTCGTTTCAACAATGTAAAATATAGGTGATTCAGATCCGCCCGTTGCGTCTCGGTGAATAACGGATAAAGTCCGAATAGCCATGTGAAGTACGGTAGAACAAAAGCAGAAAAAAGAATTCTTCGAAGTTTAATTGATGATGTACCATTGACTCTGAAGGAATTCACTAATGCAGTTTTCTGGCGAACCTTTACTCTAGTTTTACCAATGACATTTCCCCAGCCCAGCTTAGTTGTTAACCAATATCCTAAATACTTGAACGAGGAGGTCCATTCGATCACATTATCTCCACATCTAACTAGTGGCATTGGATTTGGATAACAGACAGCACGCGCTGAGAACATAATTTGTGTTTTTGAGTAATTAATCGGTTGCACTGCTAATATCGAGTAGAATTCCAGCTGTTCGAAGAACGTTTGGAGTCTTCGTTCCAGATCCACACATTGTTGTGTAAACTTTAAACCAATTTGTCCTACTAATACCGCTGCCAGATCATCGGCGAAAAAGAATGACATTGCCCCAGGAATAAAATCTGCCATATCACTATGATAGGTAATGAATAGCGTTGGTGTTAAACTTGAACCTTGTGGACCCCCCTGTTAATTTCAATCCATCTCGATCTTTTACCTTGAATCTCGATTGTCGCTTGACGATCCTTTAGCCATGCTTGAATCCACTTGACATACACACTTGGGATCCCCATACGAGACAACTTCCCCAGACATCCTTCGAACCAAAGTTGATCAAATGCAGATTTAAAATCAACGAAAACTGTTGCAACGGGCGAACTATTTGACATGTAGGATGAGATTTGTTCAATGAGCAGTAGCACACGTGTTTGAAGTCTATGTTCAGCCCGAAACCCGGATTGATTATCAGGAAGAAGGCCACGGTCCTTCAATATTTGTAGAAAACGATTGAGAAACAGTCGTTCTTGTATTTTTAAAAAAGAGTCGAGCAGCGAGATAGGTCTTGTTTGATCAGGCGCGCATATAGCATTTTTCTTAGCCAGTAGTACCATTCTTACTTCTTTAAATTTCTTCGGTACGTAGCCCTTAGTAAAAGAATCGTTGTATAACTTTATAAATAAGTGCCAGTAGTTTTTTGGAATTTTATCTAACATAAACGGTGAGAGTCCGTGTATATCTAGTGATTGCTTCTTTTTTCTTGTACATAGTACATATAATACTTCTGGATAAGTTACAAGTGGTATCGGTTCCGACACATTCACACATTGCACATTCGGGGCATCCACATATGGATGCAGGCGTACGACCACCGGTGCTTTAAATAGAGTTTCATAATAATCTGCCGCGGTATCCACCATCGCTTGCGGATCCTTTATTATTTCACCATTCGGAAGTAAGAAACCTCTTAATGATGACGAGGTGGTTCGAAAATGTCTTTTCGTTTTACTCCAGAATACTGTCGAGCATTCACCCGGAACATGTCTTTCCTTCAGTTGTTGCGTAAGTCGAGATTGTTGATAACGTTTTAATTCATAACGAGCGACGTTCCTAAGATGACGAGCTTCCTGCCGAAGAATAATATCACCCTTTCGCTTTGCTTTGTACGATAGTGATCTACTTTGTCTTAAGAGTTTCATAAGTTCGGGCGGCACCGACGGCCTGGTTCGCTTGAGTGGAAAGTATTGCGTACACCTTGCAGCAAGTAATACAATAAAAGATATCAATCGTTCATATGTAATATCATACGATTCAGTGATCCATTCTTTTCCCCAATATTCAAATGTATAAGATAGCATTAGCGAAAAGATCGACCATATTATTCGCGATCCTTCTAGCTTCAAAACTGTATCACGAACCAGCACCATCAGCAGATGCTTATGATCGCTACAAGTGTCATCTTCACAGGTTTGAATCGATATATTCACACCAGCTGCTAGGGCATAATCAATTGTTCGATCAGACCGAAGCGATGTATTAGAATCCGGAACAAAAGGACCGAGACAACATGAGTCCATCCATTCTAGTAAACGTTCAGCTTTTTCACCATCCTTTTCGATATCGATGTTGAAATCGCCTGTAATCGTACAACGATTCGTGATGAATGACGACAGATCCATCCATTCCCAGGATTTGCTTGCTGGAGCGTAAATTGCTATAAGTCTTATTGTTTGTTCCAACAGTAAATCAATTACACAAACGTTCGGCAATGAACAAGAAATTCTCGTAGTTGGAATATCATAATGTATCAATACAAGAACACCCCCATGTGCATTTTCACCAGCTTGATAGAAGATACGGTAGTTAGCGAATGCGGCACCTAATAAAGAAAAGTCAACATGACCAACCTCCCCAAGTACAATAATATCGAAACGATATTTTTTCACCAGCAGGCAAACTTCTCCCCAACGTAAATCGAGACCACGAACATTAAAGCAGAGTACATGCATATATGAGAAAGTTTGATTAACATGCGACTTTTTGTATATTTTCCAGTTCGATAATAAATCAGTTAGTGAAGGAGCAGCATGCCATCAGTAAGAATTTCTACAAACAAATCAAAATCTTTTAATGAAAGCGTATTATGTGCATAATCTAAAAACTGAGTTGCTTGAATATCATGATTAAAATTGTTCTCGGGAGCCGTTATCATGGTTTAGAATTAGAACGAGACGTTCTAGATTCTACTAGTAGTTGAAGTTGTTCTTGCCAATACGATTTCCAATTTGATCTTTGTGAAATTTGTGGGTCTAATATTGATGTACAAACGTTTTCAAGTATTGTAAAGACTCGCACTTTTAAATCTTCAAACTTCTTTTCCATTGTTTTCATTTGATTGTCAAGCACTTCAACTTGTTGTTTTGTTTCTTCGTATCGAGTTTTCATTTCTTCTTTTAGTTCTTCAAAAGAACGACGTGTTGCATTAGATTCTTCTTCCACTTTTACTAGAATATTATCTAGTTTCTTTAATAAGATATCATTTGTATTTGAATATGGTGGCACTCCTTTAACTATCGAGGAATAAGAGCTGCCTACTATCGAACCACCAACCGGAATATTGTTTGAAGTTGGTTGTATATTTGTATATTCATTGTTAGCTGGTATTAGTTTAGCTAGAAGATTACGAGTAAGTGCAGCACGATAGTCTTTCACCACTTTGCATTTTGAATCGTTTGAAATATGTGGTCCTTCACAATGAATGCATTTTGGAATACCTGAACATTGATGATATTTCAGATTTGGACATTTTACACCACACGTTTTACACGTTGATTCATTCTTCTGTTTGCAATTCTTTTTGAAATGCCCTATTCCATAGCAATTGGAGCAAATCAATACATTGGCTTGTGTAAAAAATTCGACTACTTTTAGTTTTAAGTGCATGACCATGATTTCATTAGCTTCTAATATTTCATTACGTAATTTAGTGGATAAGAATTCAAGTTTAACTGCACGTACTGGTTGCTGTGCTTTATTTTTTAGACGTATAACGTCTGCTATGCCAGGATATTTTTCTTTCAATTCGTGGACGAAATCTTCCCAATCTATTTGCAATGAGACAGCTGGAATAACTAACGATAGCTGTGGCGGAATTGACGGCCTTTTTGTTGTAAATTCGTATCCAGATAATGTTGTAGGCCAATTTCCACGTTCAAATAAGAACGAAAACGATTCACTGTTCTCGACGAAAACCAAAATACGACATTCGTTATTTTCAGAGCGTCCACGTCGATGGCCAGCCATTTTTAACTCAAAATGAAAATTTTCACTTGCATGTTTAATTAGATCATCGATGACGACTTTTTCACGAACTTGATGCGAGAAGATTATCGAAAATGGTGAAAATGGAAAACGAGATGTAGCGTATCGACACGCGGCCAATGAAGGTTGTTGTTGTTGTTGATCATATGTTGAGTCTGGAACATTTTTTCCTTCCGTAGTATTGTATGTAAATGGTTCTTCACGATTTTGTTCATAACGGTACGGATACGAGCTTTCCTTTTGCTGTTCGTTAATTCCCCGATGACGCTTGTTTGGTGTATTACGAGCATTAAAAATACGAGTTGTCTGATAATATTGAGGTCGTTCTTGAACATTTGATTCCGAAACACCGCTGGTGTCGTTGCGACCTCTTTTAGTAGTAGCGGATATTGGTGTTGATGAGACCGCATGGTTAGTCATTGATGACGAACACAGAACATTAGTATTAACTGTCGGATGATATGAAGAAACTAATTCTTGTTGTTGATTCGTGTTGGAATGTAATATCGCTTGTTGCGGATACATGTTTGAGTGTAACATCGCTTGTTGTACATAGGCAGATGGAACGTTAATAGTTGATGGTACTTGTTGCTGATAAAGTTGATGTTGTGTTACCATATTATCTGATGAATATTGATTGACAATTTGACCGTTTGGAGTTGGTTGAGCACACATGTAAGATTGAGGCTTATTGTACGATTGGTATATTACTGGAGTCGTGCCATAAACAATTTGTTGTTCTTTGGATACATCATGATTATTAGTACATGTAGTATTATTTGACGTTGTAATCGGGTACTGATTTTCAGCAGCCATGTAGACTACTTTCTGTTGTTCAGCTATATTAATAGAGTGTCCTTTTGAAGAGGACATTTGTCACCAGAATCAAAAGTTATGGACTTAGATTCTGTGATCAAAATCGCAGGCAGAAAAAAAAAGAAAGAGCGCAATAGCAGAATATAACAAGAAGAGCAGACGCGTCTTATCACTACTAAAGCAAAGGGAGACCACAAGAAACATTCTTCAATACAATTGGCAATCAAGAAGTTCGACAAATATTACATGATCAATATCGAAGTGTAGCTGAACAAGCAAAATACGATATGATACAATTGTATCTTTCATCGACTGAAGCTCAAATGAATCGATATCGTAAACAATTTTATGTTAAAATGAAACAATTCTGGCTTGAACAACGTTCTCTTCCACAGGATCGAAAATTATCGAATACAATGATTCATTTAATTGAAGAACGTTATAAGAATATTAGTGAATCTGTTAAATGTGCCTATCAATATAAAATGCATTTAATGCGTTTGAATTCTAATCATCATTAATTCAATAAAATACACACTCGTTTTCAATATTTCTCTTTTCATGTTCTTGTTCATTTCTTCTTAGATATCGNGCATGGACCAAAAATGACTTTAAAGATTTTTTTAAAAGTTTTGATGAATATATCAACAATGCATACTGTCCATATTAAATACAAACTCTCAAAGAAATTTCATTCATTGGCTGAGTCATGGCACATAAAGGGTTAATAACAGCACAGCTTCACGCCATGATTTATGCGGTTTAGGTGCTCCGTAAACATGCTTCTCGATTTCTTTAGTACGATCGATTATTTCCTTCACATGGTTAGTGTTTGCGTAATTGTTCACGATAAACTCAAACTTGTTCTCTATATTCTTCAATTGATTATTATGATTCACCAGGGTATTTATGAGTCCCTGGTTCTTATTTTGGTTTCGTTGGTGACCATCATTTTCTTTAGCCTGTGATTCTAGTGCCGATACTAATAACTTGTCAAGTCTCCAACGGTTGATGTTAATATCTGAGGCATTGTCCTCTGTTCGTATTATTGCGATTGAGACGAGGTAAACAATAAGTGCAGGATAAGAGAGTGCCATAGTGCTGATAACAAAGTAAATTGTATACAGTAAACGATGATGCTTTTGCGATACTTGTAAGTTGAGAACTGAAAGACGTTTACTTATTCCGCATGAAAATAAAAGCAAAAATTTTTTCATATGATAACATAGTTGTACTCAGCTGAGGATGAGAGTAAGAGAATGAGTATATGTGGCAACAAACAGTTTTGTTCTGTTCTCCTGATGTCCTATTACTCTTCCGTTGTCTCTTGCTCTTTTGTTCTCTTCTTTTGTTACATTCCTTTTCTTTTTTGTCAGTGTGACCTATCAGTGCTGTTGTTGATGTTGATGTTAAGAGTTATACGAACGTTTCTGGATATCGTGAAAAGCAGAGCAGCTCATCAACATTGTAGGGAATAACAGAATCAGATGTTCCATGTGTTGTCATCCAAGACAGAACTCGTTCGAGTATATCACGATGTGTTACAAATCTTTTTGATTTCTTCAGACGACGAATTGAGCTTTCACCTTCTTGCCATTTCGATCTGTGCGCGTTAAGTTCTGATTGTTCACACAACAGGCATCCATCTTTGGACTTCTCCAGAGCTTTTAGACATTTTCCCCAGTATGCATAACAATGGTCATCTAGAAATTTTTCGTTGTAAATAGATGAAAAAAATATGTCCTCCCAGTGTTGACAGCGATAAACCCGTTTCAAGAGAGTAAAATATAGATGACTGAGACTCGTACGTTGTAGGTCGGTGAACAGAGGGAAAATTCCAAATAGCCACGTAAAATACGGTAGTACAAATGTAGAGAAGAGGCAGCGTCGTAGGCTTGTAGATGATGTACCATTTATCCTGAAGGAGTTAACTAAAGCAGTTCGTTGACGAACGATTAAAGTGGTCTTACGAATGATACTACCCCAGCCTAACTTGGTCGACAGCCAATAACCAAGGTACTTAAATGAGGTGATCCATTCCAAGCTATGATCCCCGCAGCGAACCTGAGATAATGGATTCGGATAACTAACCGCTCTCGCAGAGAACATAGCTTGTGTTTTGCTATAATTGATCGGCTGCACAGATAGAATTGAATAGAGTTCAAGTTGATCGAGAAAATTTTGTAAACGGCGTTCTAAATCGATGCATTGATTTGTAAATCGGATTCCGATTTGACCGGCAAATACAGCGGCAAGATCATCAGCAAAAAAGAATGACTTTTCACCTGGCAAATAATCAGCCATATCGCTGTGGTATGTGATAAATAACGTCGGAGAGAAACTCGAGCCTTGAGGACAACCACGATGGATTTTAATCCATCTTGATCTTTTACCTTTTACCTCAATAACTGCTTTACGGTCGTTAAGCCACGCTCGAATCCAATTAACATAGGCAGTCGGAATTCCCATTCTAGTTAGTTTACCCAAACATCCCTCGAACCACAACTGGTCGAATGCTGACTTAAAATCGACGAAGACGGTCGCTGTCGAAGAGCTGTTTGACATATATGATGAGATTTGTTCAATGAGAAGTAATACACGTGTTTGTAATCTAAATTCGGCCCGAAATCCCGATTGATTGTCAGGCAGAATACCACGATCTTTTAAGATTTTTAAAAATCGACAATGAAATAATTTTTCTTGTACTTTCAGAAAGGAGTCAAGCAGTGATATTGGTCTAGTTTGGTCAGGTGTGCATAAAGCATTTTTCTTTGCCAAAAGTATCATTCTTACTTCTTTAAATTTGTTTAAAATGTAGCCTTCTCTAAAAGAGTAATTATATAGTTGAACTAGGAGATGCCAGTAGTTTTTAGGTATTTTATCGAGTATAAACAGAGAGAGGCCGTGAATATCTAACGATTGTCTTTTCTTCCTTGAACGTAGGATATTTAGTATCTCTGGATAAGTAACGGTTGTAATTAATTCATCTTCATTCTCCCATTGCATAGGAGGAGCATCAACGTACGGGTGCGGACGCATTACTATAGGTGCTTCAAATAATTTTTCGTAATAATCCGCAGCAGTGTCTGCCATTATTTGTGAGTCTTTTGTAATTTTACCATTGGGAGACAAAAATCCCTTCAATGATGAAGAGACATATTGAAAGTGTCTTTTTGTTTTGCTCCAAAAAAGTCTCGAGGCGTCACCAGGAAAATATCTTTCTTTTAATTGTTTAGTTAATTGTTCCTTTTGGAATCTTTTTAACTCAAAGCGTGCTAAGTTCCGGAGACGACGAGCTTCTTTTCGTAGTTCAATATCACCTTTTCGTTTTGCTTTGAACCATAACGAGCGGCTTTGCGCTAGTAACTTCATCAAATCCTGTGGGATGGAGGGCCTAGCATGCTCAATTTTAAAACATTGTTGACATCTAGCTTTGAGTAATACGAGAAAGAAAATAAATCGCTCATATATTGTATCATAAGAGTTTGTGTTCCATTCGTTTTCCCAGTAGTCGAATAAGTAGGATAACATTAGTGTGAACACAGTCCATATTGTTCTTAATCCTTCGCATGTCGAATATTCCTCACTCACGAGTACACCTAGTAGAGGTTTGTGATCGCTCGTTGTATCACCTTCGTACACTTGCATTGTTAGTTCCACACCGACGGTAATCGCATAATCAATCGTACGATTTGATCGAAGTGATGTATTGGAGTCAGGAACAACCGGTTCTAGATTACATGAATCCATCCACTCCAAAAGTTTATCAGCTTGATCTCCGTCCTGTTCTATATCGATGTTAAAATCTCCCATAATCATACAGCAGTTGGTAACAAAAGAAGACAGATCTGCCCATTCCCATGTTTTACTAGCTGGAGCATATATTGCTATTAGTCTAATTATTTGTTCGAGTTGAAGGTCAAGTACGCAAATGTTCGGTAATGAACAGTCTAGTTTAACGACTAAAATATCATTTCGAATCATGACAAGTATACCGCCATGTGCATTTTCACCAGCTTGATAGAAAATATTATAATTAGATAGTGCCGCACTTATTAAGGCAAAATCAACACGTCCAACCTCTTCTAAGACAATGATATCAGTTAGGTGTTTTTTGACCAAAAGACAAACGTCTCCCCATCGTAGATCGAGACCACGAATGTTGAAACATAGTATATTTAGTGAAGATGAAGAATATCCGTGTCTTTCATTTGCTCTTTGATAATGTTTCCATTTGAGTTCTAGTCCCTTGTAAGAAGAGGACGTAAGCCATTCATTAATAACTTCCTTAAATAGATTAAAATCTTTTGGTGCTAAAGTAGTTCTTACTTGATCTAGAAAGCGAGCTGTTTTAATATCATGGTTATAATAATGATTATCATGTTTGAAATTGTCACTAGCTGGTTGAGTCATTATGATAATTTTGCAAGTGATGATCTGGAATCAGCCATCGCTTTAATTTGTTCTTGCCAATAAGCTTTCCATTGTTGTCCTTGAGAACTTTGTGGTTCCATTAGAGTTGTGCAGATATTTTGAATAATTTCCCCAGTTCGTACCGAGAAGTCGTAAAATTTTTTCTCCATTACCTTGACCTTTTCCTCGAATACCGCAACTTGTTGTTTTGTTTCTTCGTAGTGATTTTTCATTTCTTTTTTCAATTCTTCTATCGATTGACGAGTCGAATTTGATTCGTTTTCTACTTTTGTTAAAATACTATCCATCTTTTTCATTAATAATTCATTTGAGTTTGATGTCGTTCCTTTAACTACATTGGCATAGGATAATCCATTTGTTGTTGTGAGACCAGTGTGTGGTAGGTTGTTGAGACATTAATTTGGAATCACGTTTTCAATGTTGGTTAGAGTTATTTTTGATAATAAATTTCGAGTGAGAACCGTTCTGTACCGTTGTATTACGTTGCATTTCGCATCATTTGAAACATGTGGTCCTCCACAGTGCACACATTTTCGAATACCTGAGCAACGATGCTCTTTTAGGTTGGAACATTTTTCGCTACATGTTTTACACGTTGCTTCATTTTTCTGATTACAATTCTTTCTAAAATGCCCTATTCCATAGCAATTTGAACAGATCAACACGTTTGCCTGAGCAAAAAATTCCACCACCTTATATTTTATATGCATAATTGATATTTCACCGGCTTCTAAAATTTCGTTACGAGAACTTGCTGACAAATATTCTAGTTTAACTGCACGTATTGGCTGTTGTGCTCTGTTTTTTAAGCGAACAATATTCGCTATATCTGGATGTAAATCTTTTAGCTCTTGTACAAAAGCCTCCCAATTTGTTTGCATCGAAACTGAGGGTAGAACTAACGAGAGTTTTGGAGGAATAGACGGTTTCTTAGTTAAGTAGTTACAAGCAGCGAGAGTTGTCAGCCAATTTTCTTGATTATATAGAAATGCAAAGGAGTTGCTGTTCTCGACGAAGATCAAAATACGACATTTATTGTTTTCAGATCGTCCTCTTCGATATGCTACCAGTTTTAATTCGAAATTATAGTTCTCGCTTATATATTTCGTCAGATCATCAACAACTGTTGAATCTCGGACCTCTTGTGCAAATATTACCGAGAATGGTGAGAACGGGTATCTAGTAGTTGTGAAGCGACAGGCTTCCGTTGAAGGTTGTTGCAGATTATCCGCAGTTTGAGTAGTGAGTTGAGGGTGTGGGTGTGGGTGTGGGTGTGGGTGTGGGTGTGGGTGTGGGTGTGGGTGTGGGTGTGGGTGTGGGTGTGGGTGTGGGTGTGAGTGTGGGTGTGGGT